AGAAACCATGGCATAAAAGCAAACAAATTTGATATTTCTGCAAAAATAACAAGAATGTTTGAATGCAAAGCAAAGAAAGAGATTGAAATAAAGCATAGCAAAAGAAGCTGCGGAGCTGACTCAATCGTGGCACATAACTAGGCAGCAATCAAATGTACCTTGGCCCAAGACGAATAGCAGTAATAAATAGACGAAACTAAAATAGCGACTAGTCGACTGCAGCAACAAAAACTAGTCAACACAACAACCAAACTATAAGCCACATACACACGCAGTGCCATAAATTATGTGAAACATACGCGTGCAAAGGTGAGGTGCATAGGTTGGTCGTTGCGCACAGATGCTAACATTACCTTAATCGTTTTGTTTTTTTTTCGTTTTATTTATTCTTCTTAATTGCAGTATCATTGTGTGTTTGTGGTCATTTCTGTATAAAAGAATAAAGCGCGGTTCGTAAGAATTCAGGCAAAGGAAATACACATATGCACAAAAACTATTTGAAACTTTAAGTCGAGGTGTCATTTTAGCACCAAGCTGAGTAATTTACGAAGTGTTTTTTATTATCAGATATGTGTGCATGCTAATAGATATGTAAAGAGAAAATGTCAGTAATATGAAAAATTTTGAATAAGCGTCGATTTTTAAACGCTTTAACTCTCAATTTTGAGTTAAGCAACTGGAACAAAAAATCCAAAATGTACTCAAAATATTTGGAAAGTTCGAGTATTGCCATATTTTTCCTTCTCTAAATGTACACGTGATTCTGATTGACCTCATCTTTTCAAGGCAAAAGAACTTCATTTTGGATATTTTCAATTTTGAAAATTTGGTGATTGGATATTTTACAATATATATTTTTTTTACAAAGTGTTCAAGACTAAAAATGGTAAAAGAGTTACCAAATAAAGATTTCAATTTAACTAAGATATGATATGAAAATATGATTTAAATAATTGCTCTCAAATTTTGGAAAATTCCCCTTTTTTAACAACAATATTATATTATAATGCATATAACTTGTATAAATTAAGCACAAGCATTTGTTTTACCTGTTTATTATTTTTTCTACCTTTAAATCGAAATTAATAATTCCGCAAATTTTGAGAACCGGTTGTAGAGCAAACTGATATTATTGATTTTGTGAAAATATCAAAAGTATAAATAAACTTAAAAAAAAACACAAGCAACGTTGCATTCAATATCACAAACACTCAATGAAAACAAAAAATAGCCAATTAATTATAATTGATTAATTTAGAATTCTTAAATCGCAATTCTAAAATAGCTAAAAAAAATATCCGGATCTTGTAGAGGCAAAAATAAAAAATCTTAATGCAAAAGCAAATATCAAAAATAAATAATAATTTCAAGATCAAAAAACAAAGCGAATGAATCCCTGTGGTTTCAAAACAAGCGGTAAATGAAGCGTGGAAGCACGTAGACACGTTACTCAATTAATGTTAAGTCATTTAATTTAAATCAAAACTATTAAGATCTTGGTAAATGTCATTTACTTGGTTTTCTGTTGCGAAAAAAGTGTGCCCAACTGTTTATAGTTTTAATTAAGCAGGAAAATAGAATTGAACACAAACGGCAACATTCTTGACAGTTATGCGCATTTTATTTTTAAATCATGTCAAGTCAATGTTTCGATAAGAACTAAGTAAATTTTGAAAAATTTAACCAACTTGTGCTGTGATTTTAAAATAAAAAATAAATAAAGTACATACCTTTCAAAATTTACTTTTTTAGGAATTCGATCAAGAAAGCTTACATTGTTTTACTAATAAATGCAACTAAGATTTTAAATAGAAAATAATGTTCTGCTTCGATTTATATTTTTATCAGAAAATAGTGACAAAAAAAACATTTTTATTAAACTTATGAAAAAATCCAGTACACATGAATTTTTTCTTCTAATCCTTAGCAGAAAAAATACATATGTAAGACATTTAAGTGTTCAGATCATAGCAGCATAGATCGCTACGAGCAAGACACTCGCAAATCAGGTAGAATATCATACGTAGCTATGTGCCCTACTTGTTTGTGTTAGTGTTCATGTTGCGATGAGTCAGCTAAAACATTGGCGGCTCGAGTGTAAGAGGAAACGTAAAGTTGTTTCAACGAAAGAAAACTACTATTCAAAACACGTTCAAGTCGTAAAAGAATTATAATGAAAGAGAAAAAACACTCTGAACTCTAAAAGAGAGGCTTACTCATATTCTTAGTAGACTGGCAATATACAATAATATTGACGTTACATATGCGTATACAAATCCATATATTTATTGCAGGATTATAGTATAAAAAAGCAGCTTGTAAGGAAAAATTGTTGTCAAAATAAAAATATGAATGCATTACTAATTAGACGTCAGCTGATTTGAACTATATATGTACAATAACTCAAAAGAATCTCAGAGTTAAAATTAATAGCCGAATATGGTTTTAATGGAAAATTACCACTTGGAGTGCTCCGATTACGTTAAGATACTCACAACAATAGTATTTTAGTTTGGAGATTTTGAAAATCACTTTTAATTGGTTCCATATGCATTATACATATATTCGATGTGATCAGGTCTAAATTAACTAATTTTGAGATACTGCATTTAAATAAAAATTATAGGTTTCAAGCCTAGCACGTTTGCGCTTTATAGCGAAATTAAAGTCTAATTTAATAATAATTTTTTAAAGAATAAAATAAAGTGCATATAAAGATAACAACGGTCTTTTCTTACGTATGAAAAGAAAAAGGCTTAACAATTTCAACGTTTGGAACTTCAAACAGAGGCTGCTCTAAAATCAGTTTGACGTTGTTGCTTTTGTTGTAGGGACAGAAAACATCCTTGAAGTAATTTGGAGCAATGCTGCTGAGTTGACAGTTTTGGGCCGGATAAAAATTTGGGTTCGTTTCGATTATGTAGACCCGGCTGCCGTGGGAACGTATTGATATTTAGTATCAGTTGTTTTCTTAATCATTTGAGAGTGAATTTTTCGTAACTTTTTTTTTTTGATTTTAGCATAAAATATTTTTTAATGTATTATAATAAGTTTTCCAAAGGTTAAATGCTGAGTAACTTGAAATAGGATGCGTCAATATATATACATATATATCTATTTTATAAAAGTAAATTTTACTAACTTTGTTTTAATAAATCACCAACATTTTGCTCTCTTTTTATGCAACAATAAATAAACATTATTCAATCGTACATATATAATGCATAAGATTTCACTGGACGGTAATACTACTACCATAAATCAATTCTGCGCCAGTTAAACGTTTTAAATAATTTCTAACTTCCTACTCGCGAATCTCGAATCGCTTATAACTTCAACACAAAGTCACCACCACCAAGCTTGGTAAATGGCGAAGAAACAACCATATTTTGCTTGCAAAAGGAAACGGCTAATAAGACAACAAATATAACAAAGTAAATGGCACCGAAGTAAAAAACAAACGAGAAACCCTCAAAACCAAGAAAAAACTAAGAAAATAAATTATACTAACGCTTAAATAATAAAAGCAAAAACAATATGCTTAATAGAAAAACCAGTAAGAAACAATAACAATGTATAAATAAATATTCAGCGTGTTGAGGTCTGCAAATGCCAGTGATGTTGAAAGTCGTTTTGCCAGTTTAACAGCCAACAAGCGTCAGAGTGAAGTCAAGCCGAACGAGCAACAATTCCAAGAGAGCGACATTCACTTATATGGCCGGGAGTTAGTGGGGCAAGGGTGTAAAATCATATAAAAAACATGTTTCAAACGCACTCATATTTTTTTGCCATTTCGTATGAAGTTTTAAATATTTCTACGAAGGCAGGTAAAAATTCACGTTTCAAATTAAAAGTTAAGAATTATGAAAAGCTAATAAAAAAATATTGTAAAAGTATTAGATAATGCTTGTTGTGATTGAAAAGTTTAGATGTCAATCATAATGGACTGGTTCGTAGTGCGTGACAGAATTTAATTTAAAATATTGGGTTTATAACTTTAACTTTATTCGTGCGGTTTATCAAGAGATTGCGGTACTGGATTATTAGTCCATTATTTCTATATTTCGAACATGCGTGGGAAAGCTACTATCCTTGTGCGTTTTTCTCAGTATATGTCGCGTAAACTTGAAGCGTAAACTACAATAATATTTATACCCTGAACAGGGTATATTAATTTTGCCACGAAGTTTGTAACACCCAGAAGGAACCGTCGGAGACCCTATAAAATGTATACATGATTAGCATGATGAGCTGAGTTGATTTAGCTATGTCTGTATATATACAAACTACAATAGTTCCTCACTAAGAAGCTGCTCATTTGTCGGAACGTCCGATATCAGACTACTATAGCATATAGCTGCCATACAAACTGAACAATCGGAATCAAGTTCCAAAAAGGGTATTATAGCTTCGGTGAAACTTATTTTCATTCAAATATGTCGAACTTTGCGTCTGAAAAAATGTTTTTGATGGAAATTATACTTTATTAATTACCAAATTCATAGTATTTTGATGGAAGCTTATGGCTCTAGCTTAGCGAAATTGCCAAATGTGGTTTTCACGATTTAAAAATGATGATTTTGGCTTGGAAGATGTAGAATTTAAAATATTTAAAAGCCATTTTAAAATATTTAAAAGCAGTCGGTTACATTCAAATGCATGGAAATTGGGTGTCATGTTTGCGTGATTGCTGGAAGGTAACCATTGCCATTTTGTTTTTTGCTAATATATCAGTTAAGTTTGACATAATCAATGAAAATTACAGGAAATCGTAATTAAAAAACGACATCAAGAGCTAGTTGAGACTCTCGATAACTTTTATGGTTGATATTTCTTAGTTTGAATTGCTTCTAAATGCTATATATAATATTTGGGCTTACATTTGAAAAAAAAAATTTTTTTTTTCTAAGCTATCAACAAGCAAAGTTAATTCAAAAATTCCACTTAAAAAACTATAAGAAAATAATAATATAAAGTAAGCCCAGTTTCTTAAAACTTACCAATTTCGTAGAAAAATGCTAACAAATTTCACAAGCGTCAATTTGAGTGATTGAACCGCTGGTGTATTGAGTTTCAAAAACTATTTCCCTGCATAAATGTGTTGAAATAAAACAGTTGCTTAACGATTGATTTTTTTGTTGACTATTAAGTTTAGTGCGGAAAATATCTTTCAGCTTGAAGTTGTTTGATTATGTAAAAATTAATAATTTTGATATTTTCACTTTAAAGCTTTTAAAAAATAAAATCTCTTTCATAACTTGCAGCATTCCGGCATATTTAATTCTTTTTTGCTTATTTAATTTTCAATATTTGTTTTCGTTGCGATTTTCGCATTATATTTACAGTTTCAGTGCATAAGTGTGTCTGTAACACGAGCACCGCTTTAAACGGTTACAATATCAAACAAAAACGTTAACAATTGACACTTTCCATTTTCGGTTTGTTCGTACGCATTTTGGCTCATTTTATTATGCTATATGTGACTTAGTACGTATTATTTTTCTTATTTTTTTTTTGGGTTAATTTTTTTGCTTATTCAATGCGTTTTTTCTATAACAGTAAAATTTTTAGCTTTTCGAGAAAATATATAAAGAGAAGTAGAATTTTTTGTTTTAAAACGCGTTCAACACAAAGAAATCGCTTCAATGCAAAGTGAAATTGAAAATTACAATGAACTCGAGCACGAAACTACATGAAATTATTAAATTGAAAACCTCAATTTTGCTTTCTATCGAAAAACCATAAACAAAAAGGAAGAATCATGGAAAAAACGACGAATCTAGCGAGTTGTGAAATGACAATATTTGCTTAATTAACACGTTCGCTGTAGAAAACTAAAGACACAATATTATAACAATAATGTTAAACAATAATAGAGCGCGCAAATACAGAAATTATGCACACAAAGACAAATAATAATAATAAAAATTTAGTAATAATTGAAAAAACCAAACTTCTTCCAAACACTGTATGTATAACGCGTTTTTACTTAATTGCATTTCATGTTCATAACACTATACAACTTAGTATTATGTGATTGCTGCAATGATTTTTAACACAAACTCGCGAAGCTGGTCAGAGATTCTCACATGTAAACATGTTGCTTTTGAAATTTCTTAACACTTTTCTCACTTCAACAACGATATTTTGCTAGATCGAAAAATTTCCCGCATTTTCACACTAGAGTGCGAACGCATGTGATCTTTGAAATTTACCTTTTCCAATGAACAACAAATTCCACACGTTTTTCTGTTTTGTAAGCGCACAACACTTCGCTTTCGATTTCGTTTCGAAAATAAACACCGCAACTCGCAAATAGGCAGTTTTACTGCTTTAAACTTTTTTAGAAAACATACTTATACACTGCACTACGCGTGGCTATGGGTGTATGCTCTTTCATTGGTTGTATTTCGAAAAAAGCAGTGTTTGGAAAATTGCACACGCGCGCGCAAAAGCAAGTAAACACAACCGCTCAACTCCGATGTTCACACTCAAATGATTTGCCGAGGCCAAAACGCCGCTGATATCCAAAGTGGACGTAGTCCAAACGGTTGGCGCAAACACCATTTGACGCTCATTTCGCTCACACGTCAACTCAGCGCCAATTGCTGAGCGTTTTGTTTATAGCTCCAAAGTTTGATTTCTGTGTATTATTGTTGTTTGTTTGCTGTGTTTAATATCGATGTGCGAGAGCGCGTCGAATAACTTTGCAATGCGCTGCAATGCTTCATCTTGCAGCAATTTGTTTGTTTACGTGCTTTTTTGTTTGATCGCCCAGCAAAGACGCTGAAAAGTGTTTGTTGACTGTAATGTGCAATACAGTGGAGCAATTTGAAGTTGTAAGGGATTAAAAGATAGTTTGTGTGAAGGTGTGATAAAAGAGTGCTGACTGCAGGAAAAGAAAAGTGCAGGAAAAATAAAAGTGTTTACGGTGTAGATAGAATTTATCAAAAAGTAATATCATGATCCCCATCTGGCAACTGGCGTTGAAACTTTCAACATTTTGCAAAAAGCCGTGTGGTGATAGATTTTGTTAGTTTTGCATTTTTCATGGACCACAGGCTTTTCTTTCTCTGCCGATTTATAATAAGTATAACTCTAAAGTCTGTATTTGGTCTCGTTGACAATCTTTAAACTAGATTGGATTGGACTTTGGCTAGACTCAGATCACAGTAATAACTCAATTAAAGTCAACAGAAGTCTAACGTAAGCAACGTATGTTCACCAAGCGCTGAGCTGTCGGATGATGCTTAGCTTGAGCAACTGCAAGCTCGGAAGCAAAGCCAAAGCTGACATGTTGGTATAGACGATATCGAAGTATCGACTCAGATGGAGACTAGACTTGGTTCAAACCAAGTTAAAGACTAGCTTCTTGTGCAGGAATAGGCAACCCAAAATTTAATATTCGGACCTACCCTGCTATTCAATTAGTGGGACCACAGTTCGCGCTCTCTGCGTGGAATTTTAGAATAATTTTAAAGTCAAATGTTTATGTCAAATAAAATTACTGAATTAGAGGCTTAACGAAATAGATTCAATGATCTTTTAAATACTTCCTAAATATAAATCGATAAAAAACTCAAATAACCCACAAATATGTATAAATGGTGCATATAGTATGAATGGCTTTCAAAATCTAAGGAGTACTGAAATTTTCCTTTAACAGGTGACACATGACAACACATGGTACAATAAAAAGGGCGCTTAAGGGTCACAACAATAACATCCGGTCACAAAAGCAAATTTCTAGTGAGCGAAGGACCAGCTAGCAAACAAACGCTCAGATAAATCGTTGAGTGAGAAGTGCATTCGCGAAAAGTACTGAAACCAGTTTGAATGCAAATGTGAGTTAATAATTTCAATACATTTACGAATACAGTCGTGATCATACAATTACCAGGCAAAAAACTGCAAATGAAATTTGGATTTTTGTTAGTTGAAAAAGTTGTATTCGAAATTTCGGTTTCTTACCCTTAATTTAAGTAAATTCAATGACATTACACTGAGAGAGAGTCAACTAAACATTTTTTGCTACAAAATGTATTCGCTTACAACACTTTCATATGTATACCCTGAACAGGGTATATTTAGTTTGCCACGTTGTTTGTAACACACAAAAGAAATCATCGGAGACACTATACAGTATACGTATAAATGAACAGCGCGACGAGCTAGGTCGTTTAGCCATACACGTCTCTCTATCTGTTCGTCTGTATATACGCGAACTAGTTCCCCAGTTTTTGAAATATCGATCTGAAATTTCGCACACGTCCTTTGCTCCCCAAATAGCTGCTCATTTGTCGCACCACTATTTGACAAGATATCTACGCTTACCGACCGCGATTTCTTTTTATAAATACTATTTTTATGATCACCACTGTATGCACGCATAATTTCCCTCACAGAGAGCCCAACTAAATGAATGAACAGGTTGTTGTTTCAACAGAATATTGATTAAGAGTGATTTACTTTTTTTACAATCTTATTGCACTTATAAAAATTGTAAACCTAATGTTTTGTATGTGGCCTCCACTTGGAAATAATTTGGTCTGCGGTAGAATATGCATCTTAAAGCTCATGTAAGATTTTATATAAGGTTAGAATATTATGAAACCTTACTTTTATGGACACAAGAAGTTTAGCGATTCAGCAGATTTTTTCTTCACATTTAGTAATTGACGGACCGATAAATAAAATCAAGCCAGATTGTGGATATGATTGGCAAATACGAAGAAAAAAACTGAGGTCGATCTCCACTAGAAAAAATTACCGTTTAAACATCATAAAATAGTATATTTTAAAGAGTCGTATTCACTAAATATATGGAAGTATTTCTTCTAAACAAAGATGCTTTCGAAACACTGTTATCCGTTAACAAGTATTGAAATATGGTACTAGATGTTGAGGCATATTGGTAGAGCGTATACATCGAGGTAATGGGTATCTGACATTCTTAAAGGTTTCAAGGTTTTTGGAAGGAATGGGCATAATAATTTCAAATCAAAAAATCTATGCTATTTGCAATTTTATTTTCGCAAAACTATGGTGGTAGCCCGTGAACTCGCATGTCTAAATACTGCTTTGAGCGACGTGGATTTAAATATTCAACATGAGACGTATGCGACAAACAGATTGAGAGACTACCACAGACATCCTCACAGTGGTGATGCGAAGATTAGAGATGTGTCAGCATCTGCTGAGAAGGCTTCTCCTTTCAGTTTTTGCGGAAAACTGGAAACATCAGATGTAATATAAAACAATAAATTTCTCTTTTAAAATACGAAACAATTTCAACTAATTTAGTGGGCGTTTTTTTCTGATCATTGCTTAATCACGCTTTGACGCCCCTTCATACGAATCAAACGATTTAATTATTTCCTGATTAAAAGTTATTATTATTTAGCGATTCACAGATGTATATATGAACATATTAAATATGTATATGTAAGGGCAAACTGATATTGATGGCATGTGCATTAGTAAATTTCTATAGCAAAATGTGTTAGTTTACGTGAAAGAGATTTTGTGTTTTCAATGCTTAATTTTTAATATTTCTTTTAATTGCAGTTGTACGAATAATCGTAACAATTTCACCCTCACCTTTTTTTCCTCAGCAGCCACAGCCGGGGTGCTTAGCAGTGTGCATTAAACGCGAATTAACAATTTACATACAATTTTATAGGCCTTCATAACCTTCAGTCTGGGGTTTTTGAATCCAAAAATTACTACTCGAGACAAGATGGTGGGTACTGAGGGTTGTGAAGGCGTAACACTTATAAAATTATTCGGTTACATTTTCTCCTTTCAGTAGATATAAGATATATTGTAGATATATGATGGAAAACACTTACATAGAAAATGTTACGGGATATTAAGGGGGTATTCCGGTTTAGAAATTTAAAAAAATCGATTTTTTTTCGTATTATTGTAGTGTAACCCTTTAAGAATAATATGTCCCTAAAAAGGTGTTTTCTCTGAACTATTTTTTTAGAAACGGTGTGCATATCTCAAGTTCTACTCAATCGATTTACTTCAAATTTTATACAGAGCTTCTTTATACATTATACTATCACACTAGGAGAGGATTTTTCTAGACCAGAATAATAGAGCTAACAAGTACCTTTTCATTTCAATGGTCTACGATAGCATTCGTTCTATGTAATGACCGAATTTTTGGATAAGCGACCAAATAACTTATTTCGGCTTGGTAATTTTATACTCACGGATGGAAGATGGCATATCCTTTCGTAGATGGAATTATTTGTATACAATTTGCAACCAATTACTTCGCATATCTGTCGTCGTCAAACGGTTTAAAATAATTATTGTATTTTATCTATAAAAGATCAATTGAGCACCTCTCGAAGTCAAAAAAATTGTTTACTCATATCATATTCACACTGAACAAGAATATAAATAAGGTTACAGCGGTGAAAAATAGACCAAGCAATTAAAATTTAGTTTCTAACTAACACTCCTTCCCCTCTATTCCAACTCCATCGATGAGCCCATTCTTTAGAGGTCGCCTCAGATGACATTGATGACAACATATAAATCTTAGCACTAAAAATGGAAGACATCTCACAACAGAAGAGCGAAACGAAGAGAGGCAGAAAAGTATAAGTGAGTGGCAGAGGCGCTGGGACAACGCAAAAAAGGATGGAGAGAAAGCACGGCGAGACGAATTATTACATGACGCAATTTCTCACTGGACACGCATGCTTCAGGAAATATCGCATTAAATATCACGATCACGATAACGTGACATATTGTTCTTTCTGCGGTAACGGCAGCGAAAGCGCGCAGCATATTTTCTTCACCTGTCCGAAATTCGAAATAGAGAGAACAGAGATAGAAACTGTTATAAAAGAACGTGTGGCTTCAGTGCACACGATAGAATGTAAGCTCGTATGGAATAAAGTGACAATATGATCCGCAATTGCACGCTAGGAGTTAAGAGATATAAGAGGCCACGCGGTAGCGAAAACAGAAGAACCAGTGAAGAGTGGTCCAGAAAAATGTCAATGAAGAGCTAATCTTGGTCCTGTGAAGAAATATCTAACGGCGGACTCATAGGACCAGTGAACTGCAGTCAAAGCTAAACTTTGGTTGGTTTAGCACGTAGGTGTATTGTTACGCAAGTCTAGCATAGTATGATTATTCTTGCTGGGCGTAGACCCGAATAAGGTGTACCCTTAGCGTACAGTATGAATCGCGCATGCCGTCTATTACTGGCAGTATCTACGAAAGATTCCCCCTTTGAAACAAAAAATAAATTAAAAATAAATAAATTTAAATAAAATAAAAAATATAAATAAAAGAAAACAAATATAAATAAAAGAAAACAAATATAAATAAAAGAAAGCAAATATAAATAACAGAAAAAAAATAAAAAATATAAATAACAGAAAAAAAATAAAAAATATAAATAAAAGAAAAAATAAATTAACAGAAAAAAAAAAAAGATAATAAAAGAAAAGAAAAAAATAAAATACGAGAAAAAAACAACAAAAAAAAGTAAAAGAAAAACCAACAAAAAAAAAATAGTATAAAAAAATAATAGAAAAAAAATAGTATAAAAAAATAATAGAAAAAAAATAGTATAAAAAAATAATAGAAAAAAAACAAAAAAAAGGGATATTCTTTCATATGCAACAACGATTTATTGAATTAGTGAAAGTGCTTTTGAGGTGAGTCTTCTATAGTGTTTCAAATTTTAAATGTAACATGTACCATATACCACTTGAAAACACTTTTCACGGCTGAATAATTAAACTCGCATGGCGCACACTATCAATGTAAGTTGATTTCATGTAAAGGAAGAGTAAAAGTGTTTCTATGAAAAAGAAAATTTGTTTTGCATAAATTTTTGCATTTAGCTAAACAAAATTTCACTCTCGGTTTTTATTAACAAGGTATGTACAAAATATCTGACAAATACTACAAACATATGCATGAGTATACATACCTTTTTTATAATTCAATGCTTTTGATTGCTGTTACATACAATTTTTGCTTGTAAATACAGATTTGATTAATTGCTAAAGTATTTTACGTTTATTCATACTAGCCAGGCGATTACACGCTGCCCGGCCAGACAAAGTGTGCATGCAGCTTAAATGTGTGTTTATATTATTATTATTATTGTTATTGTTATGATTAAAATTTATACAGTAGTAACGTATATTTATATGTCTAAGCAAGTACTTCACACATCCAATCGATAATGTTTATTTGCGGCTTAAAACGTTTGTGCGGAGCTGTGGGTAGAAAGAAATTTATTTATTTTGAAATAAAATACAACTTTGTTTGCATCGCTGGCGCACTTACCCAACAATGCGTAGCGTTGTTCATTTTGCAATTGTGTGTAATCGGTGTAAGGTGATTGCTTGTACTGCATAGTATGTGCATTGGCCATTTCTTCAGTCCATATCGTATCGAAGGAGTCTTGCAGCAGTGTGAGTATTTGTGCATATTGCTTTTGTAACGACGATGCCAGCTCGTTCATTTGTAATTTTATTAAGGCTTTGCATGTGTCACGCACTTGTTCCTGCTGATTGACCAACTTCATGACTTCATTGTGCAGCGCATCAATGAGTGCGATATCTTCGAATGGATTGCCGGGCTTTAAGCTAAGTAACTTACGTTCGTGTTTACGACGATTTTTGGCCGAACAGAATGTTTTGCTGAAGGAAAACAAAAATAACAAAAAATGAATATAAATTAAAAGATAATGTGCATGTACTGATTATAAAATTTTGATGTATGAAACGAAAACTCAATCATGTTGCGCATGGCAGCTTCAAACAATAATTAATTGCATAAAAATGAAATTAAAAACGAGAAAAGTGTTAATATTTCAGTCAAAAACTCACCCGGTGCCTTGAGAGCTTCCAGTATAGCGCGATGAGCGCATACTAGTAGTGTCGGAGAGTAAGTCGGCTTCGTCAATATCAACCACTTCATCGTTATTTAAGAAACCAGTGCGCTTGAGTTGCGCAAACAAGCGAACATCATGCAAACGTTTCTTGTGAGCAATAAAATCTGTTTCATCATCCGACAACTGCTCTTGTAGTTGCTTGACGTATGCGAGCAACTTTGGCTTGACATATTGCTCTAATAACGCAACTTCTTCGCTGTTTACACTCACTTCCACAATCGCTTGGAAGTAGAGATGACCCTTCACGAGGCACTTGATTGCTTGCTTAAAGTTTTTGCCATAAGTCTTTTGTAGCTCATGTGCGACCTGATAGTGCCCCTGTTCAAGTAAAGCTGGCAACATAGAGCTAGGTGAAAGAATATTTTATGTATTACAAAAAATATATGATATTAAAAAAAATATATATAATATATATATTAATAAAAATATATATAATATATATATTAATAAAAAAATATATAATATATTTATAAAAAAATATATATGATACTAATAAAATATATATATATATATATATATATAATATTTATTAATTTTCAATAATACTTTAATAACAAAAAATATTTTTTTTTTAATTATGTACTTACAGCACCACTGTGCCTACATCCTGTGCATCCTTTGTATCCCTTTGCGCCAACATCAGCACACGTTGCCAATCCAATATGTGTTTGGAACAGAGTAGCGCTTGTGCGAGATTGCCGCCGCGCTCGTACATAATGCTCGCACTAGCGAGATCGTTCTCAGTGCGCAAGTGATCCGCAAAGGCCAAGCAGATGCGCATATGACATTTATGTCGACTTTCCTTTTCTAGCTCAGTCAAATGCTCACAATTTTCATAGCACTTCAAACCCTTTTTATAAAGAAGATGTTGATTCATAAACTCCAAAGCTTCGTCGATTTTTTCAGGTCCACATTTAGCGATATTCTCCAATGCCTTATCGTAACGCTTCAGATGCAAATCAATTTTGTAATGACGATAATTCATTTCCAACTGCTTTAGTTCGTTAAGGAATGGTAGAAATTCTTTGGGGTCTTTTTGAGACTTTTCCGCTACATAAAGCACCAAATCGAAATCGTATGTGCCCAGCGCAACATTATATAATTCGTTTACATCAACCAAGTAGAGCAGATGTTTGAGCGCCTCTTCGGCTGAGCGCAACATAGAATTATCGACATATTTAGCGTGTAAATTTTGTTGCTTCTTAGCTTCCCAGACTAGCCGCAGTGCTTCCTCCACCTTACCTATTTTCACAAAACCCGTAATAATGGGCAAACGAAAATGCTCCGGGTCGTCTTCTGACATATATTTGTACAACATCGTGCAGATATAATTCACCTTAGATGTGATTTCGAAGCCTTCTGGGTATGTTTGTTGTGCTGCAGTGTAGTTGCAGGCATACATGGTTTTGGAGTAGTCCTTGAGGGTTGAAGCGAAAATAAATATATATTTAATATACAGGTTAACAAACTGTATTAGCTTATAAATAATAAGAAAAAAACATACCTCATTCTGCAGATCGTTTAGGAAAAGATTTAGCAATTGCGGATTTCTTATCTGCCTAAAGAAAACGTTCAAATTTTTTACAAAGTTAACCATATTGTGATCACAAATAATATTAAAATTTATGCGTTGCTTGCGCAGCATGTTGAACGCTTCACGATAGCGCCGCTGATCGAGCATTTGACCGATAATCTCTAAGGCAAGCACACGCGGGCAAATGACTTCCAAATTTCCGCGTGGCATTTGTAGCACGACGCGAGCATCATTCGCTATAGTGGTCACTAGTCTGCCGCCACGCTCCATATTACGCTTATAGGCATGTTGGCGTGTAGAGAGTAAAACGAAATTCAACTCGGTTAACTTTGTGTAAGCCAAGTAATTGCCGGCCAAGCAGAATGAGGTCACATCGCCGGCCAACAATTCGTTATCAATGTACAAACGCTGATTGTACAGCAATGAAATGAGACAGTCTTGTGCCGACTGTGCCCTACACCATTCCATAGTCAATACACCATGGTCCAATTGTTGGTAAACCTTGTCAAGCTTAAGTGTTGGCTCATTGTTTATTGATATTTGGTACACTTTGCCATTAAGTGTTTGCATGAAGAATTGTTGCAAAGTTTCGAAACCCATGCAACTGCAAACAGCGCCGCTGTTCAGTTTTAAACTGCTGATCGTCTTGTAAGATTTCGTCTCAAACAATAAACGAAACAGAAACACTATGCTCTTTTCAGCAATGTTTACTGTGGCTACAAAATGATCTTCGTCAAGCAAGAAGAAATTACCCAGCTCTACCGGTGGTGTCCAGTGTCTCTCTAGTTCGGGCTCTTGCCTTTGAAAAATGCAGATCTTTGTGAAGGATATGGAATTAGTGCCGATGATCACATTAAACAGCTGAATGCGCTCTTTTGCGTCGTAAACGCACAATAGCAAATTCCCATCGTTGGCTTTTATCATGGCAATGGCATTGATATAAGCGTCTGTTTGAAATTCTTTGCTACACATCGGCGGTGGTGGAATCGCTTTGGAAAAGTCGGTGAACAGTAATTTTGCACCGTCTATTACAACAACAAGGCCACTTCGTGCAAAGCGATCGAAATCAAAATACCAGCGATAAATAAGACAACGACCATTTTCTAGCAATATGTGCAAAGTCTTTTCCTCGCCTATACGCTGATCCCAACAGTGATAAGCAATGCGATCCGTTTGCTCAAAAGTAAGTACTTGCTTCAGATACCAATGATAATTACCGATGGTATAGAGGTAAATATATTGCTTTTTGGTGGATGGATCTAATGTTTCTACAGCTAAGATATCTGAATCGTTACTCCAACGTAAAGACTGTATGGGTTCTTCTTCAATTTCGAATGGCAGTGTAATTTCACGATGTCGCAAACCGTTTTTCTCGAAAAGCGAGATAGTACTTTTATTGGGTAGTATCTGTGGCATAGCGATCCAGTTACCTGAAGGTCGCCAAGCAACCGGATATTGCAAACCTTGTGAACGTTCGGAAATGTATACTAATTCGCCCTCCTTTTTGAAAATTTTAAACATACGTCCAACTTCATTATTGACAAAAGACACTGCAAAGTAACTACTATCAGCGCGCCAGGTAATTTCAATATTCTGCATATAGAAAAACATCAAATTAATATTTGAATATCTGAAATGTTTAATGATGACAAACCTGCGGTAGCTCCTCTACATTCTCCGGTGGTTTGAAATCGCTTTTTTGTTTAGCTGCCGCTTTACCTTCGCTTCCATGAAACTGCGTTTCTTTTTTACCCCAACCAACGTTAACAAACTGACTTTCAGGATCGCAATTTTCTTTAAACATATGTTCATTTATGACGTCGTAAGTGCAGGTCATAACAACAAGTGTGTCTGCCTTTGTTATAAAAACGGCAACTTCTTGATCTGGACTCCATGACATATTTTTCAATCCAATATCACAAAATGTGCATTCGTTAATGGCGCCTGAGCTTGATGATACAGCTAGCACTTCACCTCCTTCTGTGGCCAGACATATCTCATCATTTAGAGCTAAGTACTCCGCCGCTACAATTCCTGGAACCGCGGCGATCTCTTTTATCCTGCCTGTGACTGTTTTTATCTCATAAAGCTTATCGTCGGAAACTACATGGACGCTTTCGTCAGTTTCCTTGGGGCTTATATTTGGATTTAATAAAATTTGTTTAACATTGTGCACTTTGACACCCAATTGTTTGCACGATTTTAACTTCAGATTACGCATTTCTAACACAAATTATTAAATCAATTATCAATTACTTCCAAAAATTAACTTAAATATCGGCAAAAATATAGTAACACGAACAATGGCTGCCAAAAACATTGCACAGGTATTTACCATGACCGAAACGTGCACAGCTGTCATCATCTGGTGTTTTGACAACTTTGTACACTGCAGCATCTAATGGGAAGTAGTTGTTTACAAATTGCCAATATTATAATATCTTTTTCATAGCTCGCTTTAACTGATTTAATTAAATTATTTTAATACATCTAAGTTATTGAACCTTAGTAATGTTTGCAGTTTCCTCTTTTACATTAATATCGGCATTTGTTTATAATTTATTCTGATGTTTTCTTACAAAATATACCTAACTCTAAATATTACAATGAAATTTGCTATTAATTGGTTGAATTCGCTGTAAGATTTCGAATTTAATGTTTTATTTAATTTCTTAAATAAAACTGAATATCAAAAATATATAAATTTTTTATGAGGCAAAATTTTCAAACATTTTTGATAGTATAGTTTGTGGAAGTTATATTCATCTCATACACAAACCTTCTTCACCATCCACTTTATAGTCTTTCATTGTACCAAATTTGATCCAATGATCCAATGGATAGGTGGTGGGTTATATTGTATGGTTGGTAATACTGGAGGCGTGTAAGTATTTTCCCCAAAAACGGTACTAAAATATTTATTTTGTGAGTTTACGGACGCAATAACGCCACGAAAATATAATAAAATAGTGATTTAACGTGTTGTGTTGCTTAAACTATAAATTGTAAATATCGACAATTTCATAGCAAAGTATGAAATCTAAAATTATATATGTTAAATTCCAATTAGAAGGTGCACCAAGAATTTCTGTGGGCCGTCTTTTGCCTAGTATTTGTCAATTTCTTTTACCTTATTTTTCCACTTGTAATTATCCGTGGTTGTAAGGTGTGCAGCAATGAAGACGTGAAGAGTAGAGCGAATAAACGAGAAAAACGAGACGGTAACGCGAATGCAAAAGTGAAAAAGTAAAAAACAATTTATGTGAAAAATTCCACAACCACAGCAAAAAAATTTTATGATAAGTGCTAAAGTTTTACAGCGAAAGCAATTCAGTGTAAGTGGAAAAAGTGTGTTGGAAATGTTTTCTAATTGTTTAAATATATAAGCACTAGTGCGAACAAAATATACATTGCCATTAAAAATATTTCAGCTGGATAATTCTAAAACAATCAAAACTACTGTCAACTAATTAAAAGCATACAGGGAATTTATTAATTATCGCCAAAATCATAACACCAAATAAGCAATAAGGTAAGTTCAGTAGTATTAGGACGTTAACAAAAAAGAAAATATGGAACATATCAACATGATGGTTATTTTCTCGATCACTGGTTGACATCTAGAATACATTACTAGGAATATGATAAAATATTAAATATTATCAAACATTCCTGAAGAATTCTAAATTTCAGCGCGTTGAAAAGTTCGAGAATACCCTACAAATTCTCAAAATAGTGTAATTAACATATGTTTTGTGTTCGCGCTATGAAAAACCACGTTTAGTGCCGAAATGTAACATTAACGAAAATTTCAATATGGTTAAAGCTGTAACTAGTACTCTTGGAAACATTATATTAAACTAAAATTAATTGTAGTAGGCGAGTATTCTATCAATTGTCCACTCTTTGGCCCAACATTTTGTGCGAGGTGTAAAGTTATCGATGAACTTCGTCGGAACTCATTCATCAGAGTCACTGAGGAACGATTAGTAAAGCCAATTCAGAAAAAGGTTTATATGTACATATAAAATTGCATACTTTTGCAATGTGGCTTTACCACAAAACAACAACAATCATAAAACTAAATACAGGAGTCCATAATGACGACAACTTCGTAGTGGATTGTAAGAATATTCAGTAGATTCTTTGCTTTTAACCATTACATCTTCGTCAACTTACGCACTGACGACAACATCGTTCATGTGCTCTTGGGTGGCAGGCAGTGTATCCAGGATGTTTTATATACAAGTAGTGAGTATATACGAAACATGGTACCGAAGGGAAAGTGCGTATAGCTCTGTGCGCAATTGCTTTTTTCATAACATTTATCATTTGTACATATGTATGTATTTGTATGTTCTGCATGGGTGCGCCCTGCCTATGACATTTGGGTTTCTTGCATTGTCCATGAAAATTTTCACACTTTTCGTGTTTTTGTAACTTTGTATATATTTGTTACAATGTCTTTGTTTTGGTTTTTGTTTTTAAAACTACTCTTTTTTTTATTATTTTACTAGAGGACAACGTCCACACGTTGCTGTGGCTAACGTATACAATAATTATAAACTATTCAATACAGTAAAGTTGTATTTATGAATAAAAACGAAAACGTTATTTCCGGTGTAATAGTACAAGGTGTTAAAATTTGAACATTACTTCCATAGACTTGTTATTATACACAAAAAAACATGAGATACTATAAGATGTTGAATTTTTTATTTTATTAATTTTATAATGAAAGAGAGTATTATTTATAATTTTTAATTATAAAAAAACCAAAAAAAATTCCAATAACAACCGGTCCTACGTTACCGGAATTGACGCGGATTTTATCCGGCCAAGAGCTGTTATCGGCGATCTAACCCTGTTTGGATCGGTGAGTTTTAGTTTAAGTTTGACGTCTTTTGAGCAACACCTAGCAGCAGGGTTGCTACGTATCCTCCAAGTTGTATCTGGAAACTTTTTTAGGTTATCTCCCCACCAATTTTCAGCCAAATTGGTTCAGCCGTTATTGAGTTATAAATAGTGTAACTAACATGACTTTCTTTTATGCATATATAGATTTGTCGATTTAAGCATTAATGTTCTAAAGACTTAGAATATCCAAGATCCGCAAAAATTTTACGGTAATAATATAAACAGTTCTATAAGTACTGTATTTATTCAGGTTTAATGATGATGACATTATTGTGCCGAAATCCAATAACATAGAGATTTATTGTATATAATATTTACATAAATATAAAGCACTCGTTTAACTGCATTATTATTTATGTCTTTATTGTGATGCCTTCACATGGAAAAAGTGAAAAAAGAGGACAGAAACGGGACACAACGGCACAGTTTGACCATTTGCTAGTAATGCAACCAAAACAGGGTAAATTAGTATCGTCTGAAAATATGAAAGATTACTAAATGCATCAGTAACCAGTCGAACAGTTAGAAACCGACTTAGGGAAGTTGGTCTAACTTGAAGAAGTGCAAGAAAGTTTCCGTTTTTAAGCAAACAAAATGTAAAACAGAGGAGAGGTACCACCTCGAAATGCTGAATTTGACCCCAGATATACACGAAAAATAATTAAACACGGAGGCGAATCAATGTTATGGAGATACTTTTCGACGGGTGGAGTTGGGCCGATTTATTGGATACAAGACAAAATGTGTTCAACAGATTATCTCGACATGCTTATTACTGTAATGTTGCCCTATGCGGAGGAGCACATGCCACTACAACAAACCGAAACATGCTTCGAATGGCTCTCCCAGTCGCGGGATCTCAATCCTATAGGACACCTATGGGGGTTTGCTGAAGAATTGAGTCGGTGGAGAAAAATAAGCACGAATTATGGAGAAAAGTTCAAGAAGCCCGGTATTTAATACCGGTCACGACTTGCACTATGTGAGCTTCAAGCTGCAAAGATGTCAGTAGGTGGTTAAAATGAAACGTGCATCAACAAAATATTAGATTTGAATGGAAAATGTAATAATTAAATAAAATAACAAATTAGTTAAAGTTTGTCACTCTTTTTTTTCAGGGTGAAATACAAAATGTATCTGTTTTCACTTTTTAAACTCAAATGAACCTTAAATAACTACTCAAAGGTTAATTATTTATGTTGTGTTGTTGTTGTAGCGGCAGAATTTTGGCGAGTTGACAGTCCTTGGCTGGAATATCCGGGTCAGTTCCGGTTACGTAGACCCGACAGTCGTGAGAAGGGGTTAATTATTTATTTAAACGGACGGTAATATTTGAATTAAAATGTGAATTTTTTTTTTTGTTAATTATTTATCTGAATGGACGGTAATATTTGAATTACTGTATTTTATATCTTTTAATTCAAACATATTCCTTTGTCCCTATTATTTTTTCCAATACTATATATATATTTTTTTTACTATATCCACCGCACACATTTACATACATACATATACATGCAGAAGAACTGAATGCCTTTTTCTAAGGTCAACTAGATTATATTTTTTTAAGTGGATAAATACAAAAACGGTCGCACAAAAATGTGCATTACCGTTTAAAGTAAAAGACGAATGCAAAACCAGATGTAAACAAAAAAAATGTGGTTATGTATTGTTATTTGCTAATATAGTCAAGTGACTTTTTTGAAGACAAAAAATAGGCAATAAGTTTTAAACATCTTTTTTACAAATTGTAAAACAGTTCGATTAGCAGCATCTTCGTGTTTATGAGCTCAAACCTTTTTGTATCCGATTCATTAACTTAAAACTAAATACCTGATATGTGTTTGTACTTGAAAACAACAATAAAAATATTCAAACATATACATATAGTGGACTTAAAAATAAGCGAATAACTATTTATGCTAAACAAAAAAAATGTTTTTGAACAAAAAGCAAAAGTGAAAACAATGAAGTTGTAGCATATACATGCATGACACGCATACAACATATAAGAAATTTTAATATAAATAAATAATACATTTGAAAGAAGTGAACACACAAACCATATTCATTCATATATTTGTATTTCGATTATGACTGAATAGTCAATACCAAATTTTGATTGATTGTTCTTTGGCTACCCTAATTTGATATTATGAACATTGACCAGCACCAAAACGCTGATCAATATACGCATTGTAGTTTTATGTACAAATATTTACGTATATCCATAGTAAATAGTTTTTTCGGCATTGTTTTTACTATTCACAACAAAAAATATACACACTGAGCTAGACCGGCAACTATGAATTGCAGCAACAAACATATACAACGTACGAGTAACGCTCGTATTTATGTATGTATGTACCCGATAGTAATTGTGCGTAATATGACTGTATACCCAAAGAAATAAATATAGATCAACTAAATAGACTTATTTATGAATATTCGTACACATATGTGAAAAGTATGTGTGAAATCATTGTTCAGTCGGTTCAAATAGATTTAAATATGTATTATATACATATGTAGTTTGTAGTTTGCATTTCAAATACGTATCGTAGAAATTTTTTCGTTTTAATATTGTTTTGCTCTTTTCTGCATTATTACCGACAATCAAATGTCGGAAATTTGTTTTTGATATTCGCTACGTTTTATAATCGTAATGAAATATTGGTTAGCTACTCTATAAACGCATTGTGTAGGTATATATGTATATGTATGTGTGTATTTTATGTACAATAACCGCAATGATGGTGGCTTACAAAAAATAAAAAATAATAAAACTGTGTGTGCGTATACTTTCTATGTATGGAAAAGTGTAAACACCGCAACAAAAGCAGCTCAGCTTATACACCTGCCCCTGAATGGTGTTAAACACAAAAACATATACATATATAGCTCAAAGCCATACAAACAATGAGACACGAAAAATCAAATAAAACACACACAATTTAATTTTATTGCATCTTTATGTTTCATTCATTATTCGTAAACAGTTGCTTATAATACCGCTCAAAATAGGGTTCTTTTGAGTCATTGTATGAAAATTAATTTTCATACTGATCTCTGTTACTGGCATCAGCTAAGAATATTATCTATATATTTAAGCGAGTTTGTTTTTAAAGTGAACGGTGGCAACTTTCTTCGAGCCACATATTGCGTAGGAAATGTTTTTACATTAAGTTCAACTCGAACGCTTTTTTCATTTTTAGACGTGACACGTTTTTTCGATCTCACAAAATTCACTTAATAATTTTTGCTTTCATTTAGATTTTTGCACATTTTTGGAATATATATTATACAATAAATTCATACCGCCCGCTTACTTTTGCCAAATAGCTCTAAATACATACTAAATTTGTTAGCGCGAGCGAGTGTCAGAGGATGTTGAAACATCCTATGTAAACAACTACCGATTTTTTACTAAAACAATCAAATCAAAATAATCTAAAATTTTTTATTTTCTAAATTATGAAATTTTTCAAAACTTTGCCTTAAAACTGCAATTGAACATGTCGCACTATATTTTGTCTACCACTGTACTGCGTATTTCTGTTTAAATATAATACGTATGCATATTTACTGCAGCTTGCATGCCAGCCCATAA